CCCTTGGTAATTTTCGCACAAAAATCGCGGAATTCTCGATCGAAACAAAATAGTCGGAACATTCTTGCGGGAGTTTGTAACGAGATACTTAAAAAATGGGAAAGAAATATAAAATCAATTTTAATTTCGATAGCACGTTTCCTATACAGGGTGTTCGGCCACCTCTAGCAAAAATTTTAATGAGCGATAGTAGAGGCCAAAATAAGACGAAAATCAAGAATACCAATTTGTTGATGGTAGCTTCGTTAAAAAGTTATTAACGTTTAAAGTGCCGCCCTTACTGAATTTTTTTCTCGAAAATGCGCAAGATTTCGGAGGTATGTCTATTCACTAAAAATGACTGTAATTGAACCCTACAACCGAAAATAATTTTTCCACAACAATTTGCAATTTTTTAATTTTCTCGAATAATTTCACACCTTCTCTATTTTTTTTCTCGAAAGTGGGCAGGATTTCGTGGGTATGTCTAATGACAAAAACTGATTGTAATTGACTCCCGCAACCGAAAATAATTTTTCCACAACGATTTGCAATTTTTTTTCTCCGTTGAAAAATTTAGGCACCTAATTGGATTTTCAGTAAGGAATTTTTTTCTCGAAAGTGCGTACAATTTCGGAGGTATGTGTAATGATAAAAAATGATTGTAATTGATCCCCGCAACCGAAAATAATTTTTTTAGAACGATTTGAAAAATTTTTTTTCGCCGAAAAATTTCAGCACCTACTCGATTTTTTTTCTCGAAAGTAGATAGGATTTCGGAGGTATGTGTACTCACCAAAAATGATTGTAGTTGACCCCCGCAACCGAAAATAATTTTTCCAGAACGATTTGAAATTTTTGAATTTAATTGTTAATAACTTTTTAACGAAGCTTCCATCAACAAATTAGTATTCTTGATTTTCGTCTTATTTTGGCCTCTACTATCGCTCATTAAAATTTTTGCTAGAGGTGGCCGAACACCCTGTATATTTTCATTTGTTTTCAACTTAAAATTATATGTTTGAACAAAAATGTTTTGAAAATTATTTAAAGCAACAGAGTTTTAGAATAATAAACTTAAGCGTTTCAGTGATTGCATTTATCCTGCAACGTTAATGCTAAAAAATTAATGTACATGACTAAAATATAAAGAAAATTTAAATTTTGATATCACGTTTCCTATACTTCCATTTGGTTTCAACTTAAAATTATACATTTAAATAAAACTGTTTTGAAAATTATTTTCCTCAAGAGCAACAGAGTTTAAAAATAAATTCGTGTGCTTGATAAAATTAAACTTAAGCGTTTCAGTGATTGCATTTACCCTATGATATTAACGCCCCAACATTAATGACTATACTAAACGCGCCCATAAAAGTTTGTTGTCGCTTTAACGCCCCACCGAAAGACTCTAGAGCTCCCTAAGGGACGTTACCACCCACGTGCAACCCTCTATCTAGATCTAGATGTTACGGTTTAATAGAAAAATGCAACTGAATTCGCTATGCCGTGTATTTTCACCTTTCTCAGCTGGTATTATGCGATTAACGAGCACCAACGATGACAATGTTTAAATAAACTATTTTTGTGAAAGAAAAGCACACAAGCCACCGAATTTTCCGAGTCAGAAATCTAATAAACGTTTGGAATTGTTTTAATAAATTTGTAAAGGATATAGAAACGTTTGTTAAATGTTCTTTCAGGCGAGCTATACGATTCTACTTATCGATCCGTTCACAATTGGAATACGGTCCTATTATCTGGCCCTGTATTACAAGACAAACAAGACTATGATTGAGAGAGTGCAGCACAGATTTATTCGGCTTGCTTCCTGCTATGCCAATACACTCGTGCCTGGGTATTAGCATAATTGCGATACCATGCAGTTGCAACTTGGATTATTGATAATCGGATGTCATACAACTGACGTGCTCTTTGCATATAAACTAATCAGCTGATTACCAGCCCTGACATGCTGCACGAAATGAATGTTCCTCCCCCGCTAATAAATGCAACCTATCGATAAGGATAATTGTATCGCCATTATGGCTACTTGTGCAAAATGGATAAGGTTACAAATTACTTGAATAAATAAATATTTAGTAGTATAACGTAGACCAGAAATCGAATTCTTTAAGTCTATCGTCTTTTTGTGAACTTCAATCCTATTCTGATGAAAAAAATTTACTGAAATAATTTTGCTTTCAAATTCTTTAAGTCCATCGTCTTTTTGCGAATTTCATTCCTATTCTGATGAAAAATTTACTGAAATCATCATTAAGACTACTTGTGCAAGAACGAACACTTCTGATACAGTCTCTTCTCGAAACATAAGGTTACAAATTACTCGAATAAATAAATATTTAGTAGTATAACGTAGACCAGAAATCGAATTCTTTAAGTCTATCGTCTTTTTGTGAACTTCAATCCTATTCTGATAAAAAAAATTTACTGAAATAATTTTGCTTTCAAATTCTTTAAGTCCATCGTCTTTTTGTGAATTTCATTCCTATTCTGATGAAAAATTTACTGAAATAACTGTGCTTTCAGCTAGTAGTAATAGTTGAATAATTGTATTTGAGATTTCAGATTCGTAGCGTTGGAGTGTCCGTGAAATGTTCGAATTTTAAATTATTATAATGTTCCCAGTCCTGATCGATGCACCAAAAAGTTGTAATGATGTTCTCGCCGCGATACGCTGTCGCGTGATAAATGCAATTCGGAAAGGCGCGCTCGCGATCGTGAAACAGCAAATTTCTTGGACGATCGAAATTGCAAATCAGCTGCCTCGAAATTCTGCGGATTCATTCTTGCGGATCGATCCGATTAGCTAAGTTCTTGGAAAAACTGTCCACTGAATTAATTTAAACATGTTACAAAGATACATTAGATATAAATATTGTTATCGAGAAATAGATGTTCATTTTTTATTATTCGAGTAACGTTTCATCCATTTGAATGGATATGCAGAATACAGAAAAAATTTGATAAGTAGTTTCAGTTCTAATTCAGACTGTTGAAAACTGAAAAATCGCCGTTTTGCAACTAACCATTGTGAACAGTGAGTTTCGTTCGATCACCAAGAAAACCGTGAATTGAAATTGCATACAAATTCTCACATTTTTCCGTGAACCTATTTTCACTATAACAATGTAAAAGTGTTCGAAAGAAGAATTATTTTTCATCGTAAACCAAAGAAAATTTACTGATATAATATCTCGAAATAAATCACATTATTTCTAGAATGATATTAGTCATTCAAAATTCCATATTTTAGGAGTTGCAAAAACATCGAATTAATTTTTAAAATTTAAAAATAAACATTCCTTTAAAAAAAGCAGATGACATTCTAGTCTTCGTCAAGTATTTACCATCTCTGGAAACAAATGATTTGGTTATTTTTGTGGGGAATTCTTGCTTATCAAATTTTTCAGATAGTTTTAAGAATTCGCTCTATATTAATGAAGGCATATGATAAAATCTCGAACGAAACCAACTTTCGCAGTACTCTTACGCAAGATATCAGTTTCCCACGAGATATAATATACAAACTAGAAAAACGTTCCGCACAGAAGCTGATGCACCGCCACCGCATTGTGTCGATACTCGATATCAAGCTTCTTCCTTTTAATGGATATGCCGATACGAAGACAGCTACCTTCGACACACTTTTATGGCAATCAATCGAAGCCGTAAAATCTACTCCAGTCAACACGTGACCCATAGAGATCTGGTTTCCCGTCGCGACCACCGTTACAACGTCTCGAGGAATCTTACGACCCGACTGCACGTGACTCTCTGTATTAACCACCTAACCGACGTGCTCGAGTTAACTCGGCTCCCATAATCGACAGACAAACGAGCCAAGTTATACCGTTCTTAACGACCAAAGCAATGAAAAAGTCAAACCGAAACGAGAAATGCAAAATATTTACTCTTCAATCAAATTTATGTATCATTAAATTTGAATCCAACTGCTCGTAAACGCTTGAGAAGTCGAAATAAGAAAGTGAGAAAATTTTTGAGGTAGTCGTATTGCCCATAAAAATGCACCACGATTGCTGCTAGTTATTTCGTTCGAAGAAGCATTCCCCAAACTGTGACAAAGAAACGAGACTCTTTGTCTTTACGTTCGTTTGCATTCTATAGGCGAAGTGACTGAATCCAACTTCCACAGACATTATTAACGACCCCGCGGAGGTTAAGAAAACTTTTCCCTCGCAATTTGAAGTCGTTAGATAGAAGTTCCGATTTCTCTGTTGCGTACAATTATTTGCGGGAAGCGGTAGAACACTTCATATACTTTAGAAGCAATTCCCAACGCTTCTAACACTTGAGATACAAGTGTCTACTGCAGTGGTTCGAAATTAAAAAACGGTAATTCGACTAATATTTAACACTGGAACTACCGAAGTGGAAAAATAACCGATTCGTAATTTGTAGTAAAAATTGTAAATATTTACTCGACTGGATTTTTGCAAATTTACCGTAGATTCCTATAAGAGAATGAATCAAGATTTATTTCTTCAAGTACCTGTCGTTTTAATACCATAATTTATGGTTAATACTAGATTTACGGAAAGTTTGACGAGTTTTAGATGTCATACTTAAAGTTACAGAACTTGTAAAAATTATCTTAGCAATTTATATAAAATTTTATCGATGCAACGATATGAATTAAATTTTAATTAAAAGGCAAATCAAATTTTAATTTAACCTTTTAACCTTTTTAACCTACGGAATTAATGTCCGTAAATCTAGAGTTAAGAATGTTATTTCGAAGAATTTGTATAAAAAGTATGAGATCCACGAAACAAAAAGGTTACGAACCGATCTATTATCAAGTATAGTTTGATCTATTCTAAAGGAGCGTAGGTAACTTCGATTCGCGTTAGCGCAATCCAATTTCCCGTAGAAGATACGACACGTTTGGTGTCCAAGTTTCGGTTAATTCGAGCAAGAAGTCGAAGCTGATACGAAGAATCGATTGGTAAATTTGTATCGACAGATATGAAACTTACCTTAAGCTGATGTTGCGGTCGTCTGAGCGCACCCTGGTCCCGTCGTCCACCTAGTCGATCGGCCTCCGCTTCCAATCCCTCCATCGAGGACTCGGCTTCGCTCAACCAAGCCAAGAACTTGTCCAAGGACCGGTCGAAGTTGTGGAGGGAGTTCATCGCGGAGTGAAGCAGTTTTCCTCGATTGATGATACTACGGAAGATTTAATGGACGTATTACCGTACAATCGTCGTTGAAACGCGTTCGACTCGAACTCAATGCACCGATTCGAGCCGAACAACAGGCAACGGGAAGAAAAAGATCCCATTGCTGGACGGGGAATTCAAATCTTTTTCCTCGAGAGAACAGTAAACCTAGGAAACCTTTATTTATACCTTATTTTATTCTCGTCAATTATTCATTTCTATTTCTATTCAAGAACAGATATCCAGGTCAATGATCTTTGCTAATTCACCCTATTCAAGTCTGATAGAATTTAATTACGAGAGACATCTCGAATGAAATTAAACTAAAATTGAAAACAGGTTCTGGGTTGCAAAATCGTGTTATCTAGGTCAATTTACTTTTGTCTCTATTTGCCAGATACTCTCAAGAATTCCAAAGATAACTTGGACGAGAATTGGAACTCTGTCACTACCAAATGTAATTTTCAAAATAAAAATAATGCATTATTTAGACCAAAGCTTTGAATTTCAGGTTTCAAAACGAACAGTTTTTGTTATAAGGCTATAGTTAGCACAGTGTTAGGTTGACACGCAAGGTGAAGTAGTGAAAAAGTTAACGCAGCGTCTACAACATACCTGGTGTTCAGATTGTTGTATCTCTGATTGATGGTCTCCGTCATCTTTTTCACGCGAGTAGTGTCGTCCTGCTGATAAACGGCTATCAGCTTCTGCGTGAGCTGATTGAAGAGCTCAATGTGATGCTTGTACTGGTGCAGCTCCGCGTGGAACGACTGGAAGAACGAACGGAACGAAATAAAATGAGGGGGGAAGGTCAGCGACGAGGAGGAAACTTATCTAAGTCCGATCTCGTATCAAGTCGTAAGTCGAGCTCCGTGTCTCGATAACTTAAATAAGTTGGATCTACGGGCGAGGTAAGGGTCCAAGTTTTATACCGATATGCCGTGCGATGGAAACTTTTACGCCGCCGTGGAACTACTAATCAACGTTCAGATGAAATTTATAATCGATCTGATTAACCCCTTAACGGTCCCGACGCTCGAGAAAATATACAAATGTTCAACGTACATGGAAATTTAGATTACCTGAAAATTGATAAATGTAATTATACTGCTTTCTTTTAAAACGACGGACCAGGGAATTTTCATTTTTTTTATTCAATTAAAATTAACTACTAAGATCTTTATAGAGAATTATAGAGAATTAACTACTATTCCTATTAAGCAAATGATCAATCTTTTTGTTTCTCTTTTACGAGGCAACGTACTTCTAAAAATTCATTGTACATATATTATAGAAAAATCGTTAAATGTCGCTAATATAACATTATATGTTAATCATTCTAAACGAAATTTTAAAACCAGTCGTGGTGGGTTTAGTGTTAATGTTGAAAAAACATTTTAAAAGTAAATCCTGATATTTGAAAAATGTCTGATATATTTTAGACAGCGTTGTATAATAATATTGAAAGACAGAATGAAATATCTTCTACAATATTTAATTTAGGAATCGTTTTATATAAGAATACATTTGGGAAAAGAATCGTATCGTAGGTTGATAAAGATCTTTGAACCGTATAAAATTTTCTCGAGAAGATTTCTCCATCTTCGCTCGGAACAAAGCTATAGCCTGGCCCAGTTATGAGACTCGTCCCGTATACAAACGGTATGTCAGGTTTTCTACAGCAGATTGACTCTTGAAAGAAAATGTAGAAACATGGAATAAAAAGAACGCTTTTGTTTCTATCCACCGAAGTTCTAAAGACAACATTTGTATCGTGCATGGTTAAACGAACGATAATGACCGATGTTAAATACAGAAATTGTACGCAAGCATCAGAACGCGAAGCGGAAACTTGTGTTTTCATCTAGCAACCATCGAGCAAGTGGACTTTACATTTAAATTTCAAAGTTCGAGACCGATCATCGAGACTAATTGAAACAACAAACTACTCGATTCATGAATATTGTAACGCCGGTATCGAGAAAAAATAATGGTTGTTGATGGATTTGCCGTCATTCGACGGAGAAAAGACAACATTCCGGAATAACTGCGAGGGCTCGAGACGAACGAAGCCCTGAGCGTAGCCCGGATTCCGAAGACACAGTGGTCTCGTAGAAATAAATTATTCCATGAATATCTCATTCGTCTCTTTTGAATGTAAACAGAGTTTCGGGCCGCGCAATGTACCATGGCGAGCCGCGATCTCGTTGATTGGAACTTTGGTCGTTCCTTTCCAACCCTTTGCCCCTCAACAGCTATTTTTCCCCCAGGATGAATGTTATTCCAGTACAGAGAAACGTTGCTAAAAAAGAGGTTACTGGCCGAACGAATACTAATCCGTTCGTTCTCTTTAATCGTAAGCTATAACGAACTTCCACCGACTATCTATGGTCATTATTATTCGCCGGAGCCTCGTTCGCATTTTATTCTCGCCGGTCGTAACGGCGGGTATGGCCTCTGAAGCTGAATTACACGGGGAACTTTGGCTGTCGTTTCCGTAATTACCTGGTTAAAATTGGATTACGCGATCGTCCTGCTACCCGGATACCAGATGAAACTTAATATTAACAGTTGTCGAGGAACGAAATTCGTAAGTTCCAGGCGATCGAGGGTCGCCAGTAAATTTAAACGATTACGAGCTGCAACGCCTTTGGCAAATTCTGTCGCATATTTGTCGACGAACGGCGAACAAAATTATTACAAACAGTATTTGAAATTCGGAGGACGAGGAAGTTCAACCACGACGGTGACAATTTCATTTGGGTCGTGGCATGCAATTTTTTACTATTATAGAAGTTTGTTAATATCACAACCTTAATATTTTTTTCAAAATTTATAAACTATACAACCTTGAAACAACTTTACTGGTAATTATTTATTTTAATTTGGTCAGAATTTAATGCATCTTACTAGAGTAAATAATTGTGGACTCTACTGAGCTCTAAGGGGAATCCTCCAAATGGGAACAGAAATGTTCAATTTACGAATCACGTAATCATTTTAAGAAGCATTACTTGTACATAGTGTACATTTTTTTGGAACGTTTTTCACGCTTCCTTGACCATAAGGGATCCTCCAATTTTGGGAGGAATAGACAATTCAATTTACGAATCACGTAATCATTTTAAGAATTATTACTTGTGCATCATGTACGTTTTCTCGGAACGTTTTTCACGCTTCCTTGACCATAAGAGATCTTCCAAGTTGGGAGGAATAGACAGTTCAATTTACGAATCACGTGATCATTTTAAGAATCATACCATGAATTTTAAAAACGTAACGAGTAGATATTAGAGTATCTGAGGAGGCTGGAGAACCGAGAGTACATTATTCTGAGTACATCGCCGTCATCGAGACGAGCAGCGCGTTTTATCGGTGAATACGATCGCTTATTTATCGGGGAACATCGAATAAAATTATTACAAATAGTATTTGAAATTCAGAGGATGAGGAAGTTCAAACCACGACAGTGAAAGTTTCATTTGGGTCATGGCATGCAATTTTTTACTATTATAGAAGTTTGTTAACCCTTTGCACTCCAAATTATATTACAATTTTGTTACCAGCGGCTCCCAATGCTTTTAAGTGTTTTATTTGAAACTTTCCTGTTAAAATAAGTGTTTTATTTACACTGTTGTTGTATTTTGTAATTTTCAAGTGTAAGATATCTGTTTTGTTTGGGCTTGAAAAAATGTCGAATGGGACTTGACGAAGGAGCTCCTGAGATAATAATTGATGTCGAGTCACACTCGACATAGGAGTGCAAAGGGTTAATATCACATCAATATTTTTTTCAAAATTTATAAATTATACAACATTGAAACAACTTTACTGGTAATTATTTATTTTAATTTGGTCACAATTTAATGTATCATTCTAGAGTAAATAACTGTGGACTTTACTGAGCTCTAAGGGGAATCCTCTAAATGGGAACAGAAATGTTCAATTTACGAATCACGTAATCATTTTAAGAATCATTACTTGTACATTGTGTACGTTTTCTCATTTTTCACGCTTCCCTGACCGCGAGGGAACCTCCAAATTGGGAGGAATAGATAGTTCAATTTACGAATCACGTGATCATTTAAAGAATCATACCATGAATTTTAAGAACGTAACGAGTAAATATTAGAGTATCTGAGGATGCTGGAGAACCGAGAGTACTTTATTCCGAGTACATCGCTGTCATCGAGACGAGCAGCGCGTTTTATCGGTGAATACGATCGCTTAAGATCGTGAGAGACGCGTGCTCGTGCACTCTGTGAAATAGTCGGGCGAGAAATAAAGACTAGATAAAAACGGCAACCTCCGGGTTGGTTAACGCGCGCGGGTTAATGCAGAAGTTCGAGAAAGAATGAGAGAAAGAGGAGGGCTGAGAATTCCAACGTACCTTTTGTTCCCGTAGCTGCGCCTCGAGAACGTCGGCGGTGTGCCCGACGGCCCGCATTTTCTCCAGCCGAGTTTCCATTCGTGCCAGCCAGACTTCCACCTCGTTCCTCTTCGCCTCGTATCGTTGACTGTCCCCGAGCATCGCGTCCAACTGCGTCTTCCTTTGCATCACTTTCGAGTTCGTCTCGTCCCAATGCTCTCTCAGCTTCGTAACTGCAACAACAATCGGTCGAACGTGCACCACCGGATCATCTCCATCATTCGCGACGCGACTAACGACTATCAGACGAACGCGACGAACGCGTCGCATGGCGTTTTAATACGCCTGCAGGAGGCTGCGTTTGATTAATAGGCGAGATTCGATCGGGGTATACTTCTTTTGCCTCAAAATTTGCTGACCTTTTTGAACCTACTCGACTATCTACGAATTACGTGCTTTCTAGAAATCGGAATAAGACTATGATTTTTATGTAAGTTTGTAAACTCTTTGTTAGAAAGTTTGAATGCAGTGTGATATAAACGTGGGGAATAATTATAGTTTCTATTTCAAAGTGTTGTCTAATTTTGTTCAGATAAATATTACATCGATTTATTATTGTAAATTTTTTTTTTCAGAGTGTTCAGTAAATGGGAATTTAAAGGGATAAGTCACCTTAATACTACAATTACTGAAATTAATTCATCTAGATTTTTAAAATTTTATCGTAATTTTCTGTAAGAGAATGAATACACATTTATTTCCACTGCATTCTAGTGTTAAGGTAACAGTATCTTTCATATTTGTCACAACTTCTCAACAAAGTATGACACTTCAGTGTCAATGAACGAAGAGGAAAACAAATTTGACCTCGATACGAAAAACAAGTAAAATATAAACTGCGAGCATCGACGCGTTCAAAAACTTGGAAAGTTTGATGCGAAAAGATCGATTAATTTTTCCGCGCCTCGCTAATCGCCAACTTCGTTAACGGGATTAAGTACCGTTTGCGAATCGAACTTCCCGTTCTACCGGCGTTCGAAACCCGAACTAAATGAATAAATAATCGGCGAAGCTATCGAAAAAGTATTCCGATTAATCAATCGTTTCGGGGTCGCTCGAGCCACGAGGATTTAATTATTCGTGGCCCCGCGATGGAAAGGAAAGTTTCGATGTATGCTCCGTGAATGATATAATCGATGCGGTTTGCACGATTACGGAAGTTCCGATGCACCGACGACGGTGGATAGTTCGTCGTGGAGTCGTGCTCCGCGAAATTCGAGCGCCCGCGGAAACGGATGCATGCGAAAGCTCGTTAATCGAACACGACGAGACGAGGCACGTGTTCGTTGTTTCAAGAAGCACTTCTCGCGCGTACCAGGGGCTAAAATCCACGTTGAAATTCGCGCCAGGCGCGAGGAACCACCTGGAAACTGTCCAAGCTGAAGTAGCTTAGCGAGGGAGGCGCGGCTGGGAAAGCAAGCGTAAAGCACTGGCAACGTTTCAACGTTCGTAACAACAAAATTCGCACGCGAGAACAGCACGCTTTGGTGTACCTTTGAGGAGGCATTGCATGGACATCATGTTTCGCGCCTGCATCCCGCCGAACAGGATCGAAACTAGAACGGAAACAGCCGTGATTGAGAGCATCCATCTTGTCGGCTTCTCGAGGAGGACGATCGAACTTGTGATTTAAGGAGGGACGCTTCGTGGGATCGCGTGATCGTAACCTTGGTTCTCATCGGAAAAACTGTTATACAGTAGAGACCCGACTATCCGGAATGTTCGAATTCACACAAACGAAGAAAAAGGAATTCCTCAAAGGTCCGTTACACTCGGTTGCTATACCACTGAGTCCCAGTAATTGCACGTACGAGGTGTGTAAATTAAGTAATGAGACTGACAACGTAGCGTTCGATCTGTCAACATTTGAGACGCGTGACGTGGAGAGACGGTAGGTGAACGTGTAATAAGCCTTCGATACAAGTTTGTACCCGCTAAAGTCATTCGGTGGTCCGTAGCAATTGTTTTCGTAAAACAGTTGTTTCTAGTGCGTTCTAAAAATGAGTCAAAAGTCATGCTGATCTGCTTTCTCGATAGCCAGGGAATCGTCCACAAACAGTTTGTGCCTCAAGGCTAAACGGTTAATCAACACTTTTACCGAGAGGTTCTAGAAGAACTTCGAAAAAGGGTCAAACATCAAGAACAATTGGGTGTTGCATCACGACAATGCGCCTTGTCACACAGCAAATGAGTTCAGTAAATGAGTTTTTGGCCAGTAAAAGCATTCCTGTAGCTCCTCAGCCTCCTTATTCGTCTGACTTGAGTCCTTGTAATTGTTTCCTCTTCCCGAGATTGAAAAATCACCTCAAGGGACGTCATTTTGGGACACTCGAAAACATTGAAGCGGCTGTAACCGACCAGCTAAAGGCTATACCAGTATCCGAGTTCCAGCACTGCTATGAGGATTGGAAGAATCGTCTCCAGCGCTGTATGGCTTCCCAAGGAAGTTATTTTGAGGGAAACAATATTGAATTGTAATTCTATTTGAATAAAAATATTTTTAAAAATCAGTCTCATTACTTAATTTACACACCTCTTCAGAATTGGCAGGAGAAAAATTAATTCAATTCAAAACGTTCTGAGTCTAGCTCATCAATCTTATAAAATAAAAAAGAGACTAAACTATTTACTGTAAAAATAAAATAGTAGCAATTTTCATACAGTACTAATTTTAGCGTTGAAAATTTAGTTTTTAAGTCCTTTTCTCATAGCTAATTATATTTAAATACTATATGGAATAATATTATAGTAGAGTTCGGATTTTCCGGCATGTGGTATACTTACCCCGAACAAGAAATTAACAAAGAAGTTACAGCCGCAAATATCCAGCAGTGACGTAGATACTAAACAGTTAACGAATAAAACGTAGGAATTTTACGTATTTTATTTTTTATTAATAAATTGTATTACTACATTACCCATGGTTGTGTTTATTAAAAATCAAAAACAAATTTTAAAGAAAAATCGACACGAGGTAGATACAGACATTTTTCGGAAAAATTAAAAAATTTCAAATCATTCTGAAAAAATAATTTTCGGTTAAGTGGTTAATTGCAATCATTTTTTTTTTTAAACACATACCCTCGAAATCCTACGCACTTTCGAGAAAAAAATTCTTTACCTAAAATATAATGTGTGGCTAGAAATGTTTCTGTAATTTTATTTCGTGTCTCATTTCCTTTTGTGTTAATTTCTGTAACCTGTTGTTTGTTAACACAAAAATTGTAATGGGATTCTACAGTCCCAGAAAAATGGGCCGAAAAAATACATTGGATGTAAGATCTACTCGTGTACCTCGTCTGTGATTATATTCCTCGTTTTTAACACTTTATATGTAGGTATAGTCCAACTATTAAGTATATCGTTTTACTAATATTCTGACAAATTCAGTAAGAACTAAGAACTGTAATAGAAATAGAATTGAAAAATAAACAGTTACAGAATCCAATATATCCATAACAATTTATAAGTTTTCAAATCCTAGATTAAATCCAGATATCCTAGTTGCATTTGATGTAAATAATATAGAACTCAACGATAGTTTGAAATGATTCTGGAACGAACGAGTTTACGAAACGAAATGTATAAACAGAAGTTATTTTAGGAACGAATTTAAAATGTTTGTAAAATTTTCCCAACTCTGGAAGATAGCTAACACAGTCGACACCTGAGAGAATTCTATGTACATCGAATTGTGGATCTTTGGAAGACTTTGGATCGACCGAATGCAACAGAAATAACATGGTTGTCCTGTGAATCTACAATTCTGTGGAGTCTACCATCCTCAAGGGAACTACGAGATTCTGTGATGTTTCTAGTTTGCTTAACACTGTAGGTACCTTCATCAGAGGTTGAAGTATACGCCGGGTACTGAATAATTTCAGTCTCTTAATAGAACATCTATTAGGCGTAGCGTAAAAGGAAACTAGAAACGTGTTATTTAGTCATTTCCAGGATCGACGATAATGCCTGCTGTGTAACAGAAGAGAAACAGCCGGGTAAACTCCAGGACAACGCAAAGTTTAACATGTCTCTGCTGCCAACGTTATGCTAATATCTACAAACTAGATTTCGAGAACAATGTACAGAGAATATATAACTCTTTCTGGGATTTGGGAAACGTGCGTTCACGACAATCAATTTTGTACAAGTTTCGACGATACGTTTATGTAAAGCATTTTCTGTCTTACATTGTTATTTCTCAAACTGTGAGCATATTTTATAACTAAATTAAAACACGGCTTTTCGTAATATTTTATACTTATAAACGTCACTACGAAGTTATTTGTCGTCAAAAAATTTAAATATCAAAAAGGAAACTGTAAACTAAACAGTTTAAAAACATTCGTACTTTTTGTTACATCTAAGTATCGAAATTAAATTTTCGGTTTGCAACGCAACGCTCGAATTTTTTAATATCATTCAATGAAATAGAAATTCAACATTAAATTGTGTTAAACAAATTTTAATAAATGCTAACGCAAGTTTGTCAATTTGTTTCATTATTTGTTTTCGTAAATTGCTCCGGTAAATAACGTATGTAAAATTAAAAAATATGAAACCATTTGAATGAAAATGAAAATTTTAAAGAATCGATGTACAGTCGCGTCGGTATTTAAGTTGACACTTATCATTTTTATAAAATAGCCGTAAAAGGATACAATAAAAATAAATAAAATACGAAATGTTTACAAAAATAAATTTATTCGTGTCTTAAGTAAATAATGTCACCTTATTAATTATGTTCATTTGAGTAACAATAGCATTAACAAATATTTTCTAATGAACGTCTATCGGAAAGTAAGTTGGCAATGGTTATAAAGTAAATTATAATTCTATAAGTAACAGTAAAAAAAATATTTAATAAGCAGTTTGATACCCTTTGGCTTTAATTACTTCCAGTAAACGATTTGGCATACTGTGTATTAATTTTGTTAACGTTTTGGGCTGTATTTCATGCCATGCCTTTTTTAGTGCGGCTATCAATTTTGGTTTTGTATAGCGGTCCGATTTTGGTATTTTTCGATCGAGTTCGTCCCATAAGTGCTCAATCGGATTTAAATCAGGGCTCTGCGGTGGCCAAGAAAGCAGCAATATATTGTTTTCGTCGATAAATTTTTTAACGATCTTTGCAGTATGTTTCGGATCGTTGTCGTGTTGGAATATGTATCCT